ATTTCCCATTAGGCTTTTTTAAAAAACCCAACAACTGGACTGTGTTTTGTAGCTTTCTACGCAAACATGTCACCTTGGAAACCTGCATGGAGGTAGAGGCATTAATTTTGAAAGCAGATTCTGGATATTTCCTATCTACTGTTTGGCTTGGAACTACCAGATCACTTGGGCTGTGGTTGTGAACTTTCAAGACTATTTACTTTTATGAAGTCCCCCCGCCCCTGAAAAAAAATACATCTTGAAATAGAAATATTTTTTTCAATTCCACCTGGACAGTTGCCAGCAGGTCCTTTGGAGAATGTGGAGGCAATGGCCCCTTAGAAGAATATAATATCCCAGCTGTCTGAATGTCCAGCTGTTATTTAAAAAGGGAGTTTCTAGCCCTTTTCTTTATGTAGATAGAAAGGGAAAGCAGGCAAACAGTTGCCTTGACAGGGATGATACATAGTCCTTTTCTCCCTTGTTCCTTTCCTTCCTTCTTGTTCGTTTTCTCTGCTGTTCAATTTGAGGCAGGGGGCAGAAAATGCAAGGGGCATTTCATATGGTTTTGAGGTTATCTCCTCTGTCTATAGTAGTGAATTTTGCCTGGGGATTGGTGTTGGGGCCAAGGAAGGAGGGGCAAGCCTCCCTTTCTGCAGCTTGTCCTTGTTAAGGAATAGGAGCTGCTGGTCATTCACAGAGTACATTTCCCCCACCAGTGGATAAACAATATTGTTTGTTGTTTTTTACCTCCTCAAAGTCTGAGATTAGGACTAAAGGTCTGAAGAGACATGCTAAAACCCCAGAAAGTTTTACTGTGTGTCTGTATATGGGGGGAGAGTTTCAGTGCAGAGGGCTAGATGGCTGAGAAAGCCTAGCGTAGTAAATTTTAAGCCTTATCACATCTTAATGACAGAAAAAGAAAGTATTTGAGCCAAGGGTAATCTGTGCCCTGAATGTCCAAACTGTATACAGGTAAATAAAATCCTCTGGGCATATGAAGAGAGGATTTGCGGCTTTGCAGCACTGCATGGAAACAGCAGGGGATCTGGGCAATGGAGCCGTCAATGGAATCTTCTGTTCTCTGGGCTGCAGGACCTTCCAGGGTCCTAGATAGGGACATTGAGCTCTTCCCAAGAAGCCTTTTGCCACCAAGGTCTTTTGCTTCATCTTTTGCTCCTGCTCTAAGGTTACTGCAGTGGATCTTCTACTCCTGCAGTGGATCTTCCACACCAGGAAGAAGGAGTTCCTGACTCAGAGAAGGTCAAGGAGGTTATGGCCAGCTGTAGTAGCGGACTCTATCTTGCCCTTCCTTAAGTTATGTGGCTAGATACTGAGAATTCAATAGGATGAGCCTATTCATGCCTGCCCACCTTCAGCAGACTCTATTATAAATCCTGGTGTGGCTACTTCTGTGGCCAGTATGGCATCCGGATCAAACTGCCTCATGGGGGGAGGGGCACTTGAAAAGGCTGCAGTCCATGGGAGCAACACAGCCCTGCGCAGAGCCCATGAGACCAGTGTGCTCTCTATCTAGGCTTCAGTGGCTTAGTGCCTTTTTAGCCTGTACGCCATACCTTTGGCTGTGCAAGATGCAGAGAAAGGTTTCTGTTGCCCTCCTGCAATTTGACCTCCTAAGGGCAGAGAAGGTCATGGCTTTTGCAGCTGATACTACCTTGGTCGCTGTGCAGTTTGGCAGGGGCCATTGGCACTACCGTGGTCGCCAAGCACACCCTCTGGCTGAGCAACTAGTTGATGGAAGCTTCAGCCAAGACTATAGTGGCATCTTACCCCTTCAAGGGTTACATGCTCTTGGGGGACAATCTAGAAGGTATTCTAATTGAGACTAAACAGAAGAAGAAGGTCCTCCCGCTCTCAGACCATAGGATCTCCACTAGAGGATCCAGACATTTGGGCTCTTCCTCTGTGGTCGCTAGGGCTTTTGGACCTTCTAGGAACCCCTAGCAGATTTTCCTGGAATCACTACAAACCTTCCTACAGGTTCCAGCCTTCATCATCTAGTTCCCACTCAGGCAAAACTGAACCATCCAAGGGTAAAGCAAGATGCCTCAGTTAGAGCTGATGCCTTTCCTAAGGGCGTGGGAAGTCAACTGCAAGAATTTGATATTCAGTGAGTCTGTTCAGGATCAGTGTGTCCTTTGGGCAGTTTTCTTGGGTCTTCAACTAGAGCTCGCCTTGCCTCTTCTCTGTCTTCCGGTCAGACAAAGTTGGCAGTGAGTTCTTCGAGCTCTGAATCTTCAGGAGCTAGAGGCCATAGAATTGATTACCGCAAATTAGTGTGGTTTAGGTCTATACTCAATCTTTTTTGTGGTTCTGAAGAGGAACGGGAAATGGTGACCCATTCTGGGCCCCAGTTTCTAAACCAATCTCTGAATCTCCTTCGGTTCTTGATGGGAAATCTTTAACCCATCATAGAAATTCTGGACAGGGGTGTTTCTTGTTTTTTCATAGACCTCATTGTGATAGAACCTCACCAAGATGTATCTTTAAATTACAGGTTGACCTCTATTTTGGAAATTTTTCAGATTCTCAGTTTGGAACTGGTGCTTCCAATTTTGGTCAATGCCGTTTTTAGTCTGGCATTGGCTCCCAGGTCCTTCACCAAATTGATGGTATCATTAGTGGCCGCTCTTTGGAGGACCTGCTGCCATCTTTACCTTTAGCTGGATGACCTTTGGCTGAGTGGGCCTTCCACAGATGGAGCTGAAGACCTGCAGACAATGATAATCCTTCTTCATTGATATGGGTTCATGATCAACTTTGAGAACCATTTGTCACACACTCAAGTATTAACTCATTTGGGGGCAGTGATAGAAGCATGGAGGGGAAACGTTTCCTTCCAGCAGACTAGGCACAGGCAAAAACTGCCTTGGCTCAGCCAGTTTCATATCAGCCTACCTCAAGCATCATGTTCCCTTCAGGTCCACTTGGGCCACATGATCTCTACCACTGATGGTCCCATGGGCAAGAACACTCTTGAGAGATCTGCAGTGGCTAATTCTTCCCTGGCAGACGTCAGTTTCAAACAAGTGAGATCATCTTAGTTTGGTGGTCCAACCCCTCCATCCTTTTGAGAGGCAAATCTGCTCTTCCTGCACCAGAGCTGGTGGTGATGATGGATGCTAACCTGGGAGGATGGGGAGCTCACATGGAGTCAACTCATGTACAAGGGAATCGGTCCCTTTGGGATTGGTCCAAACCAAGAAACTGGCCGTAGTTGAGAACCTTTTCCTTTGCGCTTCATCATTTTTCCTTCAACCATCGAATCCTCATCTGTGGGCATCTGGACCAACAATGTGTCAGCCAAGCCCGATCCATTAGGAGGACAGCCACTTCCACAGCCCTGGAAGCCTGTACTTCCATGGGGGAGATATGTAGGGTGATTATTTGGCCCAGTCCTACCTTCATACGTCCTACAAGGTAGTCAGGTGGACATCTTTGGATACAGCCCTTGGCCACTGAGTCCTGCAGCAGATAGTGCAAAAGGATTAAGGGTGTTGAGGCTTTTTTTTACCCGCCCTGGGGACAGTATGCTTTTGTTACATCCCCACACATCCAGGTTTCCTAATCCTTCCAAGGGAGAATGGCACATTGGTACTTACTGTGAAGGTCCATTCTCCTTGGAAGTGACTAGGAGACTCCCCCCCCCCCAAGAGAAATGAAACACAGAAGTGAAGAAGGACAGAGATGTTATAGAAAAAGAGGGAAGTTTTTTCAGACTACATCGTGTGCCAGGGGACCTACAGAAGTTTCCGGACTGAAGGGGAGATGGGGAAACTCCTCCGCTCCGGAAAAATCAAGCTGGACTTCACCACCAAAAGTGAAGGGAAGGGAGTTCCCCACACATCTGGGTCTCTTCCAAGGCAAATGGACCTTCACAATAAGTACCAGTGTGCCATCTTGTTTGAAACAGGCCCTTAGCTGTTCTGCGTACATGGTCAAGCATGCTAAAGATCTATAGCCCAGGCAGGTGTTTCACAGGCGTGCTAACATCACACACGTTGTGGGCATCGGATGTATAGCAGCCCAGTTTAAACAAGACGCTGAGGGCATGCCATGTTGTACAGGATAGATTATCGTCACCAGGGTCATGTTTAAATCGGGCCAGGTGTTAGCCAGACTGCTCGGAACAATCCAGCACAAAAAGGGTGCTGTTCTGGATTCTTTTCCTTTGGCTGCTTTGGAGACAGGATCACAATTCAGGGCTTAACCGCAGGGGATTGATATATGTTGCTTTACATATTTATAAGCTCTTAAAATGTGCAGGTGTGGCTCACTTCCCCCCCCTTTCCTGCAAGTGTCCCTTGCACCCACAGTGGTACTCAGGAAGGTCCATTAGTGGTGGGGGAGACTGCAGGGGGAGCAGAAAAGGTACCGGGCTATGTGTGGAGATTTGGGTCCCAGGTCATAATTTTCAATCTGTACTGTTTTGTTTTTTTAAAAAGTAGTTTTAAGTAGCCACTATGGTAGCTGGCAGTCACGCTTGTGGAAACATTCCATTAACTTTGTCCTGATTCTGTGTTTATGTATGTTGGGCGCACACGTGTGTGACAGTTATGTAAGTGTTCTAAATTAAAGCAGGTTAGATGGTATCGTTTCGTTTACTGGCGCAGTGGCCCGGACGACATCATTTAATGTAACTCGGGTAATCCTGAAGTATTTTTACAAGTGCCGGGAGCACGTGGGCCATTGAAATCCTGAATATGTTTGCTTCTGCTGCAGCGGCATAGCGGGAGCAATGCTGTGGGAATCTGCCACGTGCCATGGGGTGCACACATGCACGTCTCTTCATTATCTTGCCCTATCTATTCTATCTTGTGGCTTCCAGGAAAATCTTGGCTTCCCCCCTCCCCATATATGAGTGTGGTCTCTCTCTCTTTTTTTGAGAAACCTGCATATGTTTAGAAAGTAGACGATTAGGTGCGTCTTATAGTCACTGATAGCCTAAATGATAAGGACTTCCAAAAGTACATAAAGCTATGAACACCTTTTGTTAACAGTCACTGAAGACGGCAGAGGAACGGGCTAAGATTCCACTCACCGGCGCATTTTGAAAAGAGCTGCATCCATGGAAGACGTGCAAGACTTAGCAGAACAGCCTGTGAGTAACCCTAAATAAATAACATAGAGAAAAGGTTGGTTTTTGCCTTGCAGACAATTTTGTGATGAGCCATGATTCTAGCTATTTTGTAGCCAGTGGCAGAAAACAGCCTTCTGTAAAGGGAATTCTGGACTTAATCTTGGGACTTCTAGTTAATAAGTGTGAAGTCTGTGAAGTTGTAAAGTGCTTAATAACATGTTAATGATTTTGCAGAAAAATTGCAGTACCAGTTTAAAAATATTATTTAAACTTTAAGAACATACGAAGAGTCCAGCATCCTGTTTCTCACAACCAGTTCTTCTGGATGGCCAACAACAGGGCATAGAAGCTGAGGCCTTCCCCTAATGTTGCCTCCTGGCTCTGGGATTTAGACGATTAGTGCCTCTGAATGTGGAGGTCCCCCTCAGTCACCATTGTTAGTAGCCATTGATAGATCTATTCTCCATGAGGCTGTCTAATCCCCATTTAAAGCTGTTTATTCCTGTGGCCATTACTACATCCTCTGGCAGCAAATTCCACATTTTAATCACTCTCTGTGTAAAGTGGTATTTCCTTTTGTCTGTCCTGAACCTACTGCCCATCAGCTTCATTGAATGCCCTCAAGTTCTAGTATTTTGGGAGAGGGAGAAAAATGTCTCTTTGTCAACTCTCTCCATCCCATGCATAACTTTTTAAACCTCTATCATGTTTAGTTGTCTCTTTTCTTAACTGAACCGTCCCAGACTCTTCAGCCTTTCCTCATAGGGAAGGTGCTCCAACCCCCTAATCATCTTGGTTGCCCTCCTCTGCACTTTTTTCAGCTCTGCAGTGTCTTTTTTGAAATACGGTGACCAGAACTGTATACAGTATTCCAAATGAGTCCTTTTCCTAATAATCCCTAACACAGAGTTTGCCATTTTCACAACTGCAGCACACTGGGTTGACACCAGTGTTCCCTCTAAGCTGAGTTAGCGTGAGCTAGCTCACAGTTTTTTAGCCTCCGGCTCACACATTTTTGTCTTAGCTCAGGAAGGATGGCTCCAGAGCAAACTAATTTATGCAGTAGCCAAATGGCTCTCTCACAACTTCAATGCCAGGAGCTCACAAAGTGGAATTTTTGCTCACAAGACTCCACAGCTTAGAGGAAGCATTGGTTGACACTTTCATTGAGCTATCCGCTACGACTCCAAAATCTTTTTCCCTCTCAGACTCAACAAGTTCAGATCCCGTTCGCTTATACTTGAAGTTGGGATTTTTTGTCCCAGTGTGCATCACTTTACATTTACCAACATTGAACTTCATTTGCCACATTGTCATCCACTCACCCAGTTTGCGGAGGTCCTCTTGGAGCTCTTCACAGTTAGCCTTGGTTTTCACCATTCTGAATAATTTTGTGTTATCTGCAAACTTGGCCACTACACTACTACACTTTAGCCCTGTTAATGTAAATTTTCCGTGATATGTTGTTACAAAGCGAAGTTTAAATATAAAAATATTATTCTTCTGTCTTGAGTGAGGGAAGGTGAAGTTTTATTGATAAGAAGGAGTTGACTCTTTGTCTTAGCAACTTTTCATTTGTTATAGTCTTAAGTTTCATAGCCAACTGGAATAAAATACATGAAGAAAATGTTGGCATTATGAATCTACATTGCTATTTCCATAATGATCTGATTTCTAATGATCATTTGCATGTAATTAAAAGTTGGAAAGCTATTATCTAGCTCAAAAGTACATATATAAATTTATTTCTGTTAATTTGAAGTGTATGGTGCTTGGGAGAGTCAACAGTGGGAGGGCTTCTAATGTCCTGGCCCCACTGGTGGACCTCCTGATGGCACTGGTATTTCTGGCCACTGTGTGATACAGAGTGTTGGACTGAATGGGCCTTTGGCCTGATCCAACATTGGCATCTCTTTAAAAAAATGCAACTGAAGGCTGAGTGAAAGCTATGATGGTTACAAAAATTGAAGAATAAAATATTAAAATCATAGGTAACCACCTCTTGAGCTCTATCAGTTTGTTTCTTGAACATGTAAATTATAACAGATAAGATGCAAGCTAGACTACAGGGTCATGCATTCCTAAAGGTACAAAATATCTGCAGAGAGTACTTTCCTTTAGGTGTCCAGACACAGAATTTTCAGACTGTCCTTTGAAAGATCATAATTCCTATGACGGTGTATGGTGGCAGATGTGAAACTAGGATAATTGGGTTCCAAACTGTATAGAGCTTTGTAAATGAAACTGGGCATCCAGAAACACGCAAGGAAGTGGATCATGGATGCACAGACATAACGTTCTTCATGTTGACCAGGGTCTAAAATATGGGCACAATGAAGAGCACTTTCGTGTTGTTTCCTGAAAACATGCTAATTTTGTTCTTCTGGGATCTTTGAATTACAGGTAGTAGAGCTTTAGGCTGGGGGCAGTTTGTGGCCATTATAGACATACTGCATCTCCTGCCCTAAATTTAAACATGGCCAGGTGAATTTCTGTGGTGTACTTGATAAGCTGAAGAGGGAGGGGGGGAATTGTTTCTTGTTCCTGTCCAGGGGGGGGGGGGGTGGGGGTTGGATCTGTTTTCGCATTCAAGTTTGAACTAGATGGGTTTTCTTATCCATGTTGGCATTCTTTTTCTAAAGGGGAAGGTGGGTGGGCAGAATTAAGCCGCTTAATTGCTATCACAAGGACTTTTCCATTTATTTGGCGTCTTTCATTTTTCAGACAATTGGGAGCCCCTTGGAGTCAAAATGTTCTCTTTTTGACAATGGGGAGGGAAGCAAATCTGATACGTTTTGAGCTTACTGGATAGAAGGAGAATATAGCTGCAATTTTAAAAGATATGAAGACAGACAGACAGATATTTCCAAAACTCAACTGATGTAAAAAAATTTGCTTTTGTTGTTAGATGGGTTGTTAATTGTGGGAAACTTCTGGGTGGGGAAGAAATATTCTGAATTTTGGATGAAAGATGTGGAAACCAGCAGGAAAGGGAAGGTGGGAGAGCCTCGATGTGCCTCAGGGGGGCATTTTGGAGTTGGACATCTTCTTGCAAGTGGGTTTGAAGGTGTGGGAGACAGTGCTGTCCACAATCCATGTGGGCTGTGCAAATTCTGAGATATACTAGAGACCCTCCCCTGTTAGTATGGAGAAGGATATCAGTGTTGTGGACAGGATGCAGGGGCTCTGCGGGGAGAGAGGAGAGCAGCCACAGCATCAGAGGTTTGCTTCTGAATAAATGCTCATCGCAGTGCAGTGGTCTCAGATTTTATTTATAGTAGTGCTTTCCTCTAGAATGAACATGGGCAACTGGTGGCTCAGAACTTGATGGGGGAAAGTGCTGTCAAATCGCAACTGACCTATGGCAACCCTGTTAGCAACCATGGGCTTCCTCGGTGGTCTCCTGTCCAAGTACTAGCTGGGAGTGACTCTACTTAGCTTCTGAGATCTGACAAGATTGGGTTAGCCTGGGCCCATCCGGGACATGTTCAGAACCTAACAGCAAGAAAAAATGCATGCCTAGTTTGAAGTAACATGTGGATTTGTGTATGGCTATTTTCTACTTCCTGTTGAACCCCATGTTTCCGTATATAAAAGTTCCCTCTATCTGTGAAGGGGTGACATATGGAGAGATGTTTGTTCCGGAGCCTCTTGGTTGTCAGCAACCTCTTGTTTTGCTGCTTCGTCTGAACTGGCAAACAGTGGTTCCTTTCCAGACCAGGGTTGCAAGCCACGCTTGTGTGACAGGTGAAGCAGTCTTGATATGCTGCCATAACGGTTGGGGGTGGGGTGCTAGCTTGCCAGGACTGTTGCATTCCTTTTCAGCTTCTGTAATGCTTGCTTATCTATGACCTTGCAGGTGGGGTGTTGTGTCTGGGATTCTATGGAACCGTGGGAGCGCTTTCGGTTCTCAGCCTTGGCTCTTAACGGCCTGGGGCTCCTTCTCCCGCGCGCGGGAATGTGGCTAATTGGCCTAAGGGTGTGTGCATACGAATACCCTATATCCCATTATGCTTGTAGAGGCGACACCATTCTTAACAGTGCCTTTGTTAATGCATCTATAGCTCTTCAATAAAGTATAACCTTTCCATGAAGCGTGTACTCAGTTGTTGGCTGTGGAACCTGACATTCTGTTAAGAATCCTCATTCTCTATCTACGTGCCCCTCTCCCTCCGAGATGAGTGACGAAGAGGAGAAACAGGTCCCCTCCGAGGAGGAGATTCCGGTCTCCACCACGTCTGGGGGGGAGACTCCCACGACCCAGGCGAAGGCACCTGTGACTACTACACCTCTGGTGACCGCCGCTGGGAAGGGAGCGGTTCGAAAGACGACCTCGACCCATTTTTTCCTGACCCCTTCGGGGCCGTGGGGTTGAATGGAGCTAATTCAACCCGGATTCCACGGCAGAAAATATGGTTATGCAGGGCCCCCAGAGAGACAGTAGATTCGACCTGGGGTTTGCCTCAGCTGGAGGTTTCCCCCCCTACGGGGCCACTGCCGGGAGCATGGGTGACGGAGAGGTCGAAGGTGAAGAGTGGGCCTGCGTCCCCTATTGAGGGACTGGAACTAGCCCATAGAATGGATGTGGTGGATCGGGAGAGGTGGCAGCTGCGAGAAGAGTTGGAGGAAGTCATCCAAGCGATCCCGCAGTTGGTGGTCCAAGCCATCCAAGCGGAGAGGGAAGCACAACTGGCGGCATCGGTAATCCCTGCCGCCCCACCGGTGCCGGCGTCCCGACCGGAGGATGTACCCGAGCTGGGACCAGGGGAGGCCCCAGTTCCAGCACCACGACCAGGCAGCCCGAGAGGCCCGATTCTACATCGCCCGAAAGACCTGATCGAGGCCACGTTCGACGGAAACCCTGAGGAACTATCCTACTTTGTGGTTCGAGTGATGAAGTTTGTGGAAAGGTCGGGCCACCTGTTCCCGGATGACAGCAGCCGAGTGGATGTGGTGGCCACCCGCTTATGGGGAGCCGCCACGGCTTGGTGTGTGGGATTACACAATGCCAGGGGCCCGGA